TAGATATCGACGCCAATGGAATAACAACTGTTAAAGTAACAGACATCAGGTCTCTGCGCTCGGAGTCATGTAAGCATTATATACATACAGTGATCTGACTTCCGTATTAATTGTGTCTCTTTCTGGTGATATTTAACAATGAAATATTTTGAGATAACAAACAGTATTCGAGCTCAAACGTCCATCAAACGCAGAGCAAACACAGACCTGCAAAGCATCAGAGGTGGGATTAGGTGCCATGGAGGAGTGAGCATCCCCTGTCATTGGTTTAGAAAATGTACATATTTGTGGGGCAGGTGAACTTCTAGCTAGTCACAATGAAGCTGAATTGACCATCTTAATCAGATTTTGAGATAATCATATTAGCTTAACATAATCGTTTTTCATTACATTTCATGCTTATTGTGTAGCATTGATCCTCTTATTACAAGTACTTTAAATGTGAAAAAAAAATATTAGTATGTGATATGTTCTTGACTTATGATATGTGATCATAAGGTTGCAATTAGATCCGACTGTACGGAAAAACTTTTGGACAATGTCATCATTTATGTAATTCCCTGATTTTCTCTTTATATCCCTTTTATTTTTTTCTTAATACAGTGTAGTTTATAGATTGTTTCATTATGTATTCAAGACCTCCATTTTATCTAATGGTTTTATACTTACAGTTAAGGTAGAAAATGACAGGGGCAGACTGAGTTGTGAAGAAATTGATCGCATGGTAAAGGAAGCTGAAAAAGAGAAAACGAGTTCTACACCAGTGGTAAGTCTATATTTGTGTGTGTGTGTGTGTGTGGGGGGGGGGGGGGGGGGTGTCTCCAGTGAGTTACTGCTCGACATCTCAGACATCTCAGGCTCGGGGGATTTAAGAATTTAAGGTGTTCACATTTGGTTTTAGTCTCTGTTTAACAAAAGAAATCTAGAAAGATAAAGTTAAACTGAGATCAAATTTGAGCTCATCAAAGGCCACAGTGTCATTCTAGTTAGAAACTTATTAATAAGGCCGCACCAATTTAATTTCTTGTTCATCGGACATTTGAGGAAAAAAACTATGAGCAGGCTAGTGGTCAAATAATAATATTTATTTATTACTTTTTTGTAGACATTTTTTTAGGCGGAGTGTGAAAAAATTTGAACGGACAATTATTTTTTTTCTGATTATCACATTAGAAATACAATAGAAAAAGCGGAAATTGAACAGAAAATCGCCTAAAATTTTAATAGTGCGGGAAATTTAAATTAATATTATTTGTATAGTTCTGTTTAGATACGAGCGCGCGGGTCCGACGAACAAAAAATTTTATTGGTGTGGCCTAAGTACTTTCTGAGATTACTGGATAACATATTTTTAAATGAATTTAATGTATTTGTAAAAAATAAACAATATAATTTGTAGTCTTCAATATTCTTAACATATTCCACCCTCTTTGACAGAAACTAAGGATTGGTGTATTGTAATACATGACTGTATTCTCATAGAGCCCTATCTTTCATACTAATTGGTCATCCTGAAGACATGGTTCGATGAACAATACTGACATGCTATGTTCTTGAATATTCACATCACTGTTTGGTGATTGTCAAAGTTTTGGATCTCTTTGTGATAAGAAACACATATCTATCCTTAACATTTTTTAAGAATCTAAAAATAAATGTTACTTTTTTATTTTGTACCTGTTTATATTATCAAACCTGAAACAAAATATCTAGAAAAATATTAAGTTCAGAATGAAAATATAGACAGTATAAACAATACTGTAAACCAACTTTTATTCGCATGCTAGAAATTTCCACGAGAGCCCTTTCATCACATATATTTCTTGCCGCGAACCAGTCATGGAATTTTATGTGCCTCATAACAACAGATTCAAAATAGGCTGGCTTGCGAAAATTAATCATCGCGAACTAGTTTATTCCCAGTTAATCGTGAAATAAAGTAGTAACAAAATAAAAGTTGGTTTATAATATTTTTGATTTTCTTTAGCTCATGCCAAGGACCTCAAAACTGCCTGCCTTGCCAGCAGGATATGCAGAAAAAGGTAATTTTGTGCACTCTTTATGATAATTTAGTTGAACACACATTACTATTTTTTTCTTGATGATTACATTTTCCTGCCTGTACAGTTATAAGACGGCACTCTGTAAGCTTTTCTTACAGTACTGCAGTTTATCTGGTGCCATTCTGTCGCTTTGACCTTTGTTGTCTTAAGGATTTTTCTCACTTTTCAACGTCTTTCCTGGTGTGCATGGTTAAAATTAAGAAATTGGGAAATATAAACATGTTTAAGTCATATAAAAAGCATATAAAGAGAGAAGAGGCATTAAAAGAGCTACATTCAATTTGATTTTTTGTTTGTATTGTGATATCACATATATGGGGTCACCAAAAATACAAAAAATGAACAGAATGGAAATTACTTTAAAATAATTCCGATAAACGTACTGCAGAATTATTTTGCTCTAAACTAATTATATAAGCATGTAATCAAATACATAATATAAATAAAGTGAAATTCTCATGTCTTGGTGACACCTTATTGGTATTCACTTGCGTTCTAGTTTTGCATGGAAACATATCTATTAATTTTTTTAAAGAAGAGCAGGCCTTGTTATATTGATCCCGGTAGTTTGATTGAGGCTTAGGCAGCAGTTCAGTTTTTACATTTTATAATAAAAAAAGGTAGAATAGTCTTCATCACATAGGGTTTAGTTTTAGTAAACAGGATGTTAATTGTGGCCAATAGGCCTCTTGAAACTGTGGTTAACAGATACATGTACTAGGTAGGTGATATACATGTACATTATTAAGAAAAATGAACAAGGTGATAATCATTTAAAGAAAGCAATTAAACTAACACTCATTTACATATACATTAACAATGAAATTTTGTGACTGTTTGATTATGATATACTATAAGAATATCTTTTGTATTCATGGCAGCTTCTGATGTCAACACTTATGGTATTGGATCTTCTGTCAGTAGTGTTCTAAAGGAGACCCCACGACTGAATATATCTTCACTACAAGCCATGTTTAATATTCAAGAGGTACATGTGCCATTAGCTTGACCCTCCATATAAAATAGTTTCAAGAATTTCTTCAGTATAATTTCAGACTACATGTATATAATATAACTTCTTTAATATGTATACATCTGTATGTAAGGTAAATGCATATTTGGTGAAAAAAAATATTTGTAAAATTGATGACTAGGAATCTTCTTCCAAATTTTTTGAAACAAATTTAAACTACATATTAATAAACATGAATATTTCAGTTTGAATGTTTTGCACATGATAAATGTGCTTAATTTTAAATACATTTCATCAACAGAACAATTTATGGAAACTTGGTGCGAATTTGGAGGAGACTTTTGGAATTGACATAACAAAATGCATGGATATTCTGCAAGGAGCAGGATTAAATTCACTTGGTATGTGCACTAAGAATGAGAACTTATGTTTTGTTGGAAAATCTTGTTGTACATGAAAAAACTAGTTCTTTGAGAAATGGGAAAAGTAAGACACCCCAAGTTAATTATTTAGGGATTGATCAAAACAACTTCTGACATGCTAAGAAAGAATTCTTTCAACATAAATTCTACTCTAATTTGCTTTTTATGGTACAGGCCATTTTTTTTTCAAATTTCTTACTTTTATAAAATATTCTGTTCTTTTTATTTAATTTTAGGAAAAAGTTGTCCTTTACTCATGTATGATAACGATAACCACAAATATTTTTTTTATCTCTATCAGGGAAGAAGGTTGGCGATGAGGTCCTGGAATTGATATCATCAGCTCTAGCCCTGCTCCTCATCCACAAAATAATTGTTCCCGAGTTATTTCCCTTAGACTTTTCTAATCAGCTCAGTCTTTTGACTGCCTTTGTGAAAGCGGTAAATAAACTCCAGAAAATGAAGATTGATGGTGGGTTTTTAGAGGAAAGGCTAAAGGTCTCCATGGAAACATACATTGCCAAGAGACAGAAATACGACTGGGTGTGTGATATGTTGGAATTAGGTCATACGTATGAAGAGGTGGCCAGTAAAATGCTGGGGTATACGTCATCTCTGGAAACAAAGGCCCCTCTTTACATAGAGGTTAAACTCTGAAGGATGAATGAGATTCCTGCTATTGTGATAAAAAGGATTTATTCTAGAATCTACAATAATGTATTAAGAAATGTTTTTCAAATTTTGTTTACTAGTTAGTAGTATTTTTTCTATTAATGATTTTTTGTGGTCTGTTATTTGCATATTGATGTGAGATTAACCATCATAAATGTCAATACAAATTGTTGATCTATTTCAGTGATTTAATTTTTTTTTGTAAGTGGGGTATGCTAAAAAATCACACAAGTGATGACTATAATTCTACATGTAGAAAAAAATATCATTTTCATTTGATAATGATTTACCATATGTACAAAGAAAAGAAATTAAACCAACTGATAAAATCGTAAAAGTAAATAATTGATATTTTTTTAAAATAGTTTACATAGTACACAAATTTATTAAAAACATGTGATATATATTATGGGATATTTTCTTATCTTTTTAATTCTGTTTTTTTTCTATTTTTGTCAAGGATGTATTTGTTATTTATTATACTAAATGCATTTTGATGATGTACTTGTATTTATTAATGTTACAGTATTTATTTTCATGCTTTAATAAATAAATGCTTTCTGATGTACATTTGTAGTTCGTATGCTTATTAGTACGAGTCGTGAGTATTTAACATTGAGTAAATTCTTATTAAAAACAAAGCTATGTTATGTATTTTTAATGAACAAAAAAATTATCCTTGAAATTCATAATCCAAAAATAATATTGTGATAAAGCGACAATTTTGAACTATTTGCTGCCAAATAGGATGAAAAGAACAAAGGAATATTGCGTGTAAATATATACATGTACAAGAAATATTTATTTCTTCAAGGATATTGAATTATATATGTGGGTTTTACATAATTTATGACATTGCATACAAGTATTACAATATTAAATATGAATTCCACATGTGATATTTTATGTTATGTACTGTATCGCCCTACGGCCACGGATGATAACGTCAAAGTGTCTAAAACAGCGTCACGTTTCTTCTTTGCTAAACTTAAAGTTGGATAAGCCCCACTTAAATTTAGAAATTTTTATTGATTTACGTATATGAGTATCTATAACCAGTTAAGAAACCAATGTGTACACTCATGCGATCTTCTGAATATTTATTAGCAAGTTACAGACAGTATTCTCACCATCATTCAACTAAAAATGAATCTCACATCGACAGTAGACAGTGACAGCGTCCTTTGCTATTACAAATGGCAGTCTGTCCATATGTTTTGTATTATCTGGGGACTCCACCACGAAGACTTCACTAAGAAAACTTTCATTTCATTTATATACTAAAGATCTGGTAATATTTTTCACATTTTCTACTGTATTCATTTAAAGTCTCTTAAAGGGGTCATTACAACATCCTAATCTATCTGAACTGCTCTCCGGTGCGCCGTAACGTCATAAAAAGTCGCCATTTTTCGTGTATTGTGTTTATTACTTTCCCATTTCAAATGCTCGGGAAACTGCCAAAAATTAACCAATTGCCTTGAAATTTTTAAAAAGACGACAGAATTGATTAAGGAATGGAATTAGGATAATTTTCATCTAATCTTATGTATTGAAAACTTTTATTACGAATTAATTCTTATGTCTTCTTTAATATAACCTTGCAATTTTTACCGTGCGCCGTAACAATATTGTGCACATTCAAGCAGAATAAAATCTTTATTTTTGAATATATATTATAAAAAACATTATGATTCACTTAAATATGATGAATAAACATTTACTGAAAAATTTTAGCTTCGTGTGCCCATTACTTTTTGAAAAAAACGCTTTGTCCACGATTTTATGGGGCAACCCTCGTATGTGGAATTAACATTGTTGTTAATGACATATAAAATGTTAAGTTCATGTTAATTAACGAATAGATAAAAGTCAGGTTACATGTACAAAATTTAA